TCTGATTATTTTATTTTTTTTTGTCCCCACTCTCTTCTTGTTTCAAATGTAAAATAAGACGTCATCTTCCAGGCATTCCAGAAAAACAACAGGCAAAACCCATTGACATTGCAAAGGAATAAATATTGGGATGGTACCAGGCTGAGTTTCTGGCAGTCAGTATTATGGGTGTGTCCATGGAAGGGAAAGAAATAGGCCAGATTTTTCTCCATGTAGCCACAGACATTGTCTGTTATAAGAGCTTAATTGATTCATAAACTGTTAGAAATATTTCTTGTCTTCTATTTGGTAAAAACTGTGATCTGCTACCAACTTGTCAGCTTGTTCTTTTAGTTCTCTCCTCCCCCTCCCCTTCCTTAAAAACAAACAAATAAACACATTTTTATCATTGATATTCACCATGAGTGCTAGTCATTGTTTTGAACCTTTCAACAAAACGTTAAGATTAATGGCATGTGTTCCCAGATGTTACTCTTTCTAAGTTCATTTATCTCAGAGTAAAGACACTTGTTTCTAAAAATACGTGGTAGAAAGCTGTCTCATAAAACAGCATCAAAGCTCACTTGGTTTTGTTGCTATTTAATTTTTCATTACTCTATCAAAGTTTTGCCCACAGATCTCTCTGTAATCATTCAGATTTACAACAAACCATTCTTTCCCCTTTTCACAGTAATGTTTGCATTAGGCTTATGCTAGGCTTCCTTTGGGGGATTGTTTTCATTTACCACACTTGTACTTTCCATTCTGAATCACAGCAGACCTTTAAATAATGATTGTGAAGTTAGCTGCTTTGTTCTTTTACACTGTGTGGCACTATTTTTCTGCAAAGCAAAAATCTTCCATCAGTAGCATCTCATGTCATCAGGAATCTCTAAGCGTTTATTTCTTCCAAATGATGCCAATGGCAAGTTTATGATTTTGTCACTGGTGCTATTTATTGCAAACGTATTAGAAACTTCACAAGCTTGCCATTAGATGAAACAATTTTCAGAAATGCAATGCAGAGAAATCAGGAGATGCAATTAGTGGAGCAATTAGGAGATTCATTCTTTCCACGGTTATCAAAAATTCCCTGAAAAGCCTAAATATCTGCATTTTCAAGGCAGTACTGTTTCTGAGTGTTGTGCTGAGCATCTCAGCTGCAAAGTCACATTAATGAGTCCCCCAGAACTATTTTCCCCCTCATCTTCTTGCAAAGTTCATGCAGTTATGCAACATGCTGTCTTTTCCTCAAAGAAAAATTCCTCAGTACTCTATTTTTAACAAGAGCAAAATGCCAGCAGGCCAGCTTTAGAGAACATCCCTATGAGAGCAAAACATTACTGTCACTGCTATAGCTACAAATGTCTCTGACCACCAGGCATGTCTGAGGGAAGATATGACAACTCTGGGACAAGTGCTGGGAAAGACTGGAAATAGGCAAAATCCTGCCTCAGTGCATGAAAAATCCCATGCAGGCATATAAGGGACATTCAGATAATTGCTCTGTGGGCAAAACTGCTGATTAGCATCGTGAATAATGCTTCTAGAAATGATTTTCTGGGCACTTAGTAGAGGTCTACTGAGGTCAAGGGCCTTCCACTGATTTTGGAGCAACCTGGGAATAACTGTAGGTGAGGTTGGGATCTCTGCAACATTTTTTTGCCGACTTTTCTGTATTGGGAGGCTCTGGAATTTAAAAACAATACTAAAATGAAGATAGCAAATTTATTGCCTAAATATTGTCAGTCTTATGCAACTCAAAAAGCCAATACAGTATGAACTGACTAAGAACTGTGAGGCTTAAGAGCCTTAATGTTAAAGATGTAAACATGTTTTTTAAAATAATGAAAGTCCCACGAAATATAAAACTTCAGCAAATGGACTGATGTTCATATAAACAATATGTTGTTTGTTTGTTTTTTCTTCTACCAGTTTTGATAAGATTGAATTGTAACTAAGAAATATTTCAATGGCTGATGGAATCTCTGTAGGAAGATACAAAAGCATACATTTCCTCTACTTTCTCAGCATTCCCACCCTGAACTTGAAAAGATTATTTGACAATGTCTGAAGCAACAAAGGAGTAACAAAACCTGAGTTTACTTTGGTCTCCTTCTTACCTTTTATTCGTATTCAGAACAAGGGAAAATATCCTTACTTTGATCCTTTAGTAATCTTGGACAGGAATACAAAGCTTGATTCCAGAATGATTACAAATTTTAAGACAAGCTGCATTCAGATCAGCAGAACGGTACTGACAGAACAAGCAAAGAGGTATGAACTTTTCCCAGTCTTTGGAGGAGATTTTGGAAGGGGAAAGAAGAAAGATGGAGATCCAGTGTGGTACTTCAGCAAGTGTCCAGCCATAAATGCAATATTTCTGACTTGACTTTGAATAAGGAACACATGGAGCATGTCAGAATAACATCCACATGTAAACAAAATTTCCTGTTTTGGGATTTTGTTTCTGGCTCACAATCCAATCTAAGGTTACCCAGAATATCCAAAACTGCCACATTGCTAGGAAATGTAGCAACAATTTCAAGCTTGTCTGGATTCTCAGAAGGGACTTCTGATTTCAGGCTGAAATTGCACAAAACTCTGTGGCTGCTTTCTTAAAGGTCCAGCTCAGAAAACAAAGAAAACCTATCCTGATTTCCAGAGTTTTGTTCTAGCCCTGAATTTCAGTCAGTCCTCAAGTTCAGAATGTCTAATTTGTACAAATAGCAGATGATCTCAGATGAACCAAAATCACTAAGTATTATATACTGTAAAACTTTGCATATTCATTTCATGGGAATGTATGTCATAACACCAACATTATTTCTAAGCATGGATCCCAAACCATCTTTTATATGAGCACATTCCTCAGGATTTTATAGATTGTACTTAAAAACAAAAGCAAAAGGCTGCATCAAATTCTTTCAGGCAGCCTTAGCTGTTCAAAACTATATGATGCATTAAAGATTACAATGAAAATATATAGTTATAAATGACTACTGAAAAATATCACCAACAACAAAATGGGTTAATTCCAAAACACCATTTATGAAGAAAGTGTATTTTTTTGGGGGGGGAGGGAGAGGGGGGGAAGAATGTGGTCATTATTGGCAAGCCTTTTTATTCCTATCTCAAAAAAGAAAACACAAAATGTGAGCATTATCATTTGTTTTTGCAAGAACATTTGCAGAAAAAGTTTTTAGAGAAGCTGAAAGAAATGCAATTGCATGAATGCTGCTACCAGTAATATTTGTAAAAGCACACACTTCTTTGATTTGCTAATGTCCTCCTGCTTATGAAATTCTGATGAACAGTAAAAATGCAATTTGCTTAATAAGAATCAGCAATGTGGTCTAGTGGTTACTGGACTAAATTTAGAACTGGGGGACCTGGAATCAGTGCCTAGCTCAGATGCTCAGATGCTGAGCTGCCTTCTGCGCCTGTGCAAGGGACATCACTGTTCTCAATCTATGCATGCACTTTTGCTCTTTTGTCACATTTTCACATGTAGGCTGTAACATGTCCAAAACAGGACATACATCTGCATCTCTGTGGGGGTGGCACAGTGCCCACCACGGAGGGTTGCCAGTTAAAGCAGGGACCATAGTGCAGATAATAGTAAAAAATGCTCTGTTACTTGTTTAACGTGTGACTTTCAGCTTCTTTTGCATCTAAATGCAATGCATGACACCAAAGTGAAACACCTTGGCTAAGAGAAACAGTCAAGCCTGGAGCCAGTCCTCCATGACACTGCATAGCAGTATGGGGTGCTCCTACCCACCTTGGCAGAACAAGTTTTTGGGAGAAGATAGTGCTACTGTTAAGGATGCTTTCTGTCAGACTCTGGAGACCTCTGTATCAAGCACCAATTGAGTATCAACTCTGTCTCTATGGTTGCAATTATGCCCCATGACTCATCTCTGTCATCACTTGGAATTTATGCAACACTTTCATCTCAGTGAACAATTGCCTACATGACACCTTCCATTTCAGTGAACAACTGACTGCTCTTCCCTGGAGATTTTGTTGCATGCTCTGAGCATTAAGAAGAATTCTCCAGAATACAGGCAGAAAGAAAAGTGCATTGCTTCTGCCACCACCAATCCAGACAGATGGATTGCTAGTACTTGGTGTAGAATAACAGCTTATGTTGGTTTGGAGAAGAAAATTTGAGTCCAACTTTGGGGGCTAGGTGGGAGGAGCAGAATATTGGTGTCACCTGCAACAAAATATATTCACACTGGAGGGTAGAAACAGCATTTTTTAACCTGGATGAAAACACCTTGAAAGATACAGTAAAATCTCTCTTGAGGTTGGTATGTGTTATGTACAAAGATTTATTTAACTTTTTGCAGGGCAATCTTTGAGATCTGTGAGGATTGATATTCAACGGACATAAATCGGTGTAACCCCATGATGTTTATTGTTTTGATTGCAAGCAACTCAATCGTGGTTGTAGACAAGAAGCTGTTTCTTCTTCCAAAGTGGCACTTATCATGCAGCCGCCTGTAGCCTGCTAGTGAGGAACAGACAATTGTGCATTTGCTATGAAGTATGTATTTCATTAGAGCTGCGGTCTAGGAAGTGTTTTGGTTTTGGATGGAATAAATAGCTGCAAGTGCTGTGGGAGTTCAGAAATGCAGAAACTCAGTCCTGTGCCATCACAAGCCCTGTCATCTCTTGCTAGACTTTTGCAAAGGAGATGAAAGGCAAAGATTTAGCTTTATTCCAAACAGCTCTAGCAAAGTCCTCTCTGTTACTGGGGGAATTCAAAAGGTGGCTTAGGGAGCAGAAACATTGTGAAGAACAGCTATGGGGGCTGTAATATACAATCAACTATGAATAAAGAAACAGCAACAAACCATAAATATTAAATGCCATCAGGTAATGGTGTGAGTGCGAGATAACAGTACAGAGAGGGGTACTTTCTTGGGGAATGCCTCCTGTGACCAAGCCAGCCTCCCCCCTTCCTCCAGCGCATACACTTCCCCATCCATCCCTCTTGCTCGCTCAAATACCTTTCTTCCAGCCTCATTGTTGTGCAAGTTCATCAGCCTCCGTGCATTCTTTTTGATTTCTCGGGCATCAACAAACCTCCGGGAGAACTCAATGCCGTATCTGATATCCGCAGAGCAGCCTCCCCACTTCCAGCCCTCCTCCTGGTTGTAGTAGCCCTGTTTCTCTCGGTCACAGCCACAATTGCTGAGGTTGCCCTGGCTGCAGGCAGCTGTGACAGCGTGTGCAACCCCGGCAGCAGTAATGGCATAGGTGAACGCAGCTTCCCTGCTTCCTGTGGAGAGAAGCCAAAAGCTGATGGGTTTGCAGAAAGGTAGCACTTGCTAAAGAAAGTACACACATTATGTACAGCAATGGTGTGAGGTAGGAATGTGAGGCAGGCATTACTTCTAGCATGTGCTTTGCATTCTGGCGGAATTACACATGTATTTTAAATGTTTGGTTCGTCTGGGTCTCATTGCCCCAGGGTCTCATAGCACCAGCTACATGACAGTCCTGTCTAACTCTCTGAACCAGAAGGAAATTCAGCAATGAGTCTGGGCAGTGGTGAGGTGAGGCAATATGATTTGTTTTTATATTGTCTCGTCAGGTTTCCAAGCTGAATGGTATGTATTTTGGGTGAATAATAGGTGAGTCACCAAAGGCAATGCTCACTGGAAAACAGTTGTTTGCTCTAACAGTTGGTACTGCCTGGAAAAAGTGTACAGACAGCTTAAGAAATACCAGATCCTTTGGGGTGCACAAGAGGGTTGGACACAAATGGGGGAGGTTATTATTGCTCCTTTATGGACCAGTAGGGCCTATTAGTGATGCTGATGGTCAGCTATGGCAAGAGTTGCTCACAGGGACAAGAACTAGGTAGTTTTTTTTTCTTTCAAGGTGAAGTAGAGATGACCTCTTTTGCTGACTTTTCTCATGTGTGTGTTTTGCTGTGAACTTTTCCACTCCCACCCTGACTCTGATTTCTGCTTTATCTTGTCTAGTGGGTCTACAGAGTGATGGAAGTGCTAAGGAAGCATTGTTTCCTCTCTGGAACAAATGAGATGCTGCTGTGAAGGCAAAGCCTTGTTTTTATTATTACTATTATTACTGTTATTGTTATTATTGTTATTATTATTATTATTATTATTTATGCCACTACTCATTCCCTACTCCTTGTTATAGGTATTGATATTGAGTATGTAAGGGACAAATAAATGCCGTTTCTTGACTAGACATTGATAGGATGGGTTACTTTCGGGATGCACATAAGCAAGGAGATACAGAGGCTGAGCAGTTTAAAAGGATGTTACAACCTCTGCCTGCTCTCATGTGAGTCCACACTCTGTTACTGACTTCATGTAGGGGTAGAGTATGGCCCTTTTCATTTTGCTGTACTTATTTACAACATTTCCCTACAAATTCCCCTCTCAGTGCTATCATTATTTTCCTCTGTGTGCTTATTTGGTGGTAAACAGACAATCTTGTAATACTACTGCCAAAGAACAATTGCAAAGAATTTTGCTGAAAGTTTTGCAGAAAGTTGCTGAAATGCTTTAATGACCACACACAAAGCTTTAACTTGGTTAATGGATTTGGGAAGAAAAAAAAAAAAATAACAGATCTTCCAGAGGAGAAAAACAAACAAACAAACAAAAAACCTTAGAATCTATTTTTAAATTTTTATTTTAGTATTCACAGATATCATAACTATTCTGGAATGACCTGTGTACAGTGTGGGGTTTTTTATATTTTATGTGTCTTATTTGCATATATAGCTTTCTGAAAAGTTACACCTTTGCAGGATACAAGAGAGATCCTACAAGAAGCAATCATAAACTCTTTTTTGGCACCATTTCATTTTTCTCCAAAGCAATAAAAAAAGTAACTTAAGGTAAGAGAAAAATAAAAGGGTCTGTTTTTATTCAGGTACCAGGAAGGTTAAACTGACTTCTAGAGTATTTGAGTATATCACCCACCAGAAGGCTTGACTCTGCTTTCAGACACACAAGTGTTTTGCTGAGGTGTACGATGTGTGTAGTCTGGTTCAGTGTTTCCCAAACCATGGTCCACAGAACATTGGTGGTCCATGAGGCCACAGTAAAGGGTTTGCAGCTAATCTGTAGAGCCATATTAAACACTGTTTTTAATAGTGTTTTCAATTAAAAGTTTGATGATAATGATGCCTGGTGGTCCACAAGAAATTCTGAGGGTTTATAGCAATCCAAAAAAAGTTTTGGAACTTCTATTCCTAGTATGTTCTCTAAAATGTATATCAATATTCACTCCTCTCTCTTTCAGTCCCCAGCTGAAGTCAAAACTGAGACGTCCTTTAAAACATAACCTGTTGACTTGCAGGATTTCCTTCTTCATCTCCTTTCAAAAAAAAAAAAAAAAATCTATTCTTAATTTGGATTCTTTATTCTTAAATTGAAAGACTAGAAATATGAGATATAACAGAAATGACATATAGTGATAAGTTTTGCTTCCTCTCCAGGATGACAGGGAATAAACACATGTAGAAAAACTTGTAACCAAGCAGAAACATATTCCTGTCAGGGAATACCACAGCTGTGAGCTACAGTTCAGTAAATTTATCAGGAGATTAGCTAGAGAGAGGTTGCTGATGTTTTATTTTTTCAATTCAGTGTATTCCACATGTATCCAGAGTAGAAAGTGACATTTTGTAATGGCACTATGTCTTGCTCATGAGTTTTCACACATCACTTCCCTTAATCAGTTTTGTAAAACCAAAGAATATTCTGGCTTTGTATTCCTTTTTCTCCTCTTTGTTCCCATTATACCCCTGGTTACATTTGGGAATAGAGGAAAATATCTTTCTCTCACCCACTTGACAGTTATACCAGTAAAGGAATTATCTCAAGTCATGGAGTAATTCTTAATGGAAATCACATTGACTCTCTGAAGATATTATTCTTCTGTTTCAATGCAACTCTAAAATAAGAAAGGATCAAAAACAATAAACGGCTTGAAAATCAGATTGCTTTTGTAAGTTAAGGTGTCCTGCCAATAATATTTTTTTCTTTTCATTTTATTTATTTAGTTAGTTAGTTTAGATTAGTTTTTATCTAAAGAATGTTCTGAAGCTTTCTTTGACCTTCAGGGCAAGCATTACCTCAACAGTTCTCTAAAGTCCTAGGATAAAGAGAGTCTATCAAAAAATGCTGATGGAGGAGGGATAGGAATCTCTGTGCTTGAATAATAAGTCTGCTGTACACAAAGCTTTCCATTAGCATGTCATCGTTTGGAGTCAGTCCTAAGCAAGTCCTTGTTAGGCAGCTAAAACAATTTAAGCAATGATTGCTCTGATAACTGCATGAAGAACAATAATCTCATTTTACACATTTTTTTGAGATTTCAAAAATATTCTTATTCTGCAATGAAAGAAAGAGACAGATCTTTCAAAAAATTTTCATTAAATGGAAAAACAAATATCAGAACATTTGGGATATGACTCAACCTGGAAGCTAGAATTTTTTGTTTGTTTGTTTTGTTTTGTTTTTCTGTGAATATCTTGGTCACCTAGTTATTTGGCAGTATAAGTGCACACTACCCGTGTCTCAGAACAAAAATTTATTGTTTGACTTTTCAAAGTTTTCTTTTATGTAGACAAGAATAATTCTGTCAAGATTTGAATTTAGTGGAAAAGACACTATTTTAGCTTTTATTGCAGACCTTGGATCCCTACATTTCCTACGTTAGAAATGCCTACTTTCATGTCAAAGAAGACAGTTCTGATTTAATTCCCCAAACATAGAATGGTACAGAGAAATTGTCTGATCTAGTAACTCCAATAGAAGATGACAGTCAGTACTGACTGAAATGTAGCCAATTTTTTATTTTTATTTTTTGGTAAAGGTGCTGAGAGTCACTTCTTGCAATCTGCTAGGCCATGAGAGAAGTCTTGCCTGTGGTCTGCCAGTCTGAGTTGCTGCCATTTGCTTCAGTTCACTTCTTTTCTCACGGTGGGTTGTATTTTAAAAGTGGCCTACTACCCAGTAATGTAGATATTTTCTGCTCAGACAGTCAGATATTGGATCATTGCTTCCTACAATGAACAATTTCTGGCAGAAAGGGTGAGAGGAGTCTATTTGTTGTTGGAATATTGGAACAGCCTATACTTTAGCCCTAATTTAGATGTCATCTCTGACTAACTTTTAGACTGCTAACTGCCCTAAACTTAGCATGCTGATGTGGAAATTATTACAAGTTCCATAATTGCTGTAGTTTACTTGCATTCTAATATGCATATATTCAGCAGCATATTTTCAGCATGTAACCACAATCAGCTGAGAATCGTGCATGCTAAATATATATTTTGATCATTTGTCTGTGAGTGCAGGGTTACAGATTTAACTTTTTCATAGTTATTAGTAAGGCATCTGTTTTTCAGAGTAACTAGATGTGAATATTACTATTCCACACGTCATTCAGAAATGTATTTTCTCAGCAGTTAAATGAATAAGAGCATCATCAAATGTCAGCTAGTAGAACTCTAATTTAAATTGAAAGAGTAGACTATGGAATATACACTGTTTAGCCAGTATTTTGCTAAATCTTGGATTAACAATGATAAAAAAAATGTACACACTGCTATTAAACAAAACAAATTCCTTATATGCTTACAATCTGTAGACAGTGGATCTTGAATTATATGACACAATTCAATAAAGGTTGGTGATAAGAAAAATGAACTATAGCAGAAGTTAGATTATTTTTGCCAAACTTGTTATTTTTGACAACTCTTTTGCAAATGAAAGCTGAGCACACATTAAGTCATTTTTTATGGACAAAAGAGATACATCTAGATGAGTAAACTGAAACTCAGACAATAGCCCCCCAAGTAGGGCTGGCTAAAGTCTTTTGCAGAAAAGTTTAGTTCCTTTGTAATCTTGTATTTTATTCAACACACTCATTAGCAGTTCTCAAAGAAAACAGTACAGGCTCTTCTCCTTGGGTTCAATCCAAGGGTAATACAAGTCAGTGAGCGTTTTCTCACTGTCTGGAGCAGATCCTTTCTCTATTTGCATTTTCAGTTAACTAATTTTGTACTTCTTGGTTTATAATCTAAAAGCAGGGGTTGGAATAGCCTTCTAATTTACTATAATTTACTACCAATTTACAGTGAGGCATGTGAGAGAACACTGAAATCAGATTGTACAAGAAAAGCTATGAGAAAGTAGGGCTGGCAGGATCCTCAAGGGGGTTTCTAGTCCATCCCTCGACCTTAATCTGGCTAATAATGCAGGTATACTGCAAAATAGTTTTTTATAT